AAAAATAATATCGCTTCCAATATTTCTAACTAAACTCCGGGAACTGATTTCATACTATTCCAAATTAACAAAAAAAATTATTAAAGTTAATAATAAGCAGAAAGTTTTGCGGCATTTTCTGGATTGTGTAGTAAAAATGATAACATTGTGCTCAAAAGCCATTAAGCTTATCGCTTGATAAGAAGTGCTTTTAATGCATGCTTCCTCCTTTAAAAACTGCGCTCGAGCCATAATCGCACAACGTGCAACAATTCCTTTGCACGCAAATCGTGATTGCTTCAAAATGCATAAAAAGCAACTCAAGCAAAAATAACAAACTTTGCTTTTTATTGCAATGGCAACGGCGACTGCAGCGGCAACTGCAGCTGCCACACTTTCCACTAAGTTTCGTTTAACCCTGCAATAGTCGCAGCCAACTGTTAACAAAGGATATAATAAACGGATATACTTTCGAGATACAAAATGAAAAATCACTTCCATATTAAAAATAAAAGAAATACCGAAATAGGACGAACATGCTCGTTCGGAATGACTGAGGGAAGTCATAAAGTAAGTGTCACTGCCGGGCTGCACTAAACCATGGAACTGTGCACTGCTCGAATACACATTTTTCAGCGAAACACTTGCATTCTTCCATATTTCGTGCTATTATTTTACATTAAGACCGAAAAGTTTTCGGAAATTCTCATTTAAAATTCGCGCGCTGTATATTTTTCGATATTTTAAGTTTATGTAGTTTGGCAGCAATTAGGGACAATTACTATGCCAAAAATGAGCGCGATCTGTCAGACAGTTCGTTTACGGCAGCTGTTGAAACCAGTTCACCTCAGTAGTGCGTTGCGAAAAAACAATGGAAAAAAATATTGAACAAAGAGTTTGCATCAAATTTTGTGTTTCGAACGAAATTTCGTGTGCAGAATCGTTGCGAATGCTACAAAAGGCTTATGGGGAATCAGTTTTATCGAAAACTCAAGTTTATGAGTGGTACAAAGCCTTTCAGGACGGTCGTACGACCGTCGAAGACATTTCGCAACGCACTACTGAGGTGAACTGGTTACAACAGCTGCCGTAAACGAACTGTCTGACAGATCGCGCTCATTTTTGGCATAGTAAATAAGGACAGTGCTGCCAAACTACATAAACTTAAAATATCGAAAAATATACAGCGCGCGAATTTTAAATGAGAATTTCCGAAAACTTTTCAGTCTTAATGTACTTCTAGTGATTTTCGTCATAATCATCCGAAGGCGATGTAAAGCCTTTTAAGCAAACATATTAGGGGTTATCATATATGTGGGTGGAATACATTGCGAAAATTGGATGACGGCACCAATCTACAATACTACGCTATGATTTTAACGGTGGCATTGACAATGACAATGGATGAGTAAGCAGGATGCTTAACAAAATTAGGTCAAAGCACATGAACTCAGTTTTAAATAGGAAAAAGAAAAAACATTTTCATAGTTGTGGTTTTTATTGCAATGCACTTAAAAAGTCTTTATCAGACATTATAGTACTCCTAATAATATACAAATTGTTCTCTATATTCATTACGCCATCATTGGAGGAAATAAGCATAAGTATTTTTCAATAATTTATGTAAAAGTTTATCTAATATAAAACAATATATTATACTTAGAATAAAATGCAATTACTATATGAATATATAAAGGATGAAATCTTTTGTCAATGAAATAATTTAATTTAATCCTAAAACATTTCCAAGAAGTATCTCAATACTAGAATTACACGAGAGTTTTGATTATAATTTTAACTGTCATTTCAGATAATTCTTGATTTTGATAGCAAAACAAGTTCTAATCAAGCAGATTTATTTTAACTTGGAGAGCTAACTATTGCACAGTATTGTGCAGTACAAAATTATGTTATTGTGAATAGTTTAAAGGAATGAATGAAATTTTCATACAAAACGAAACAAAACTGTTATTTATCATATGTATATATCATATCAAATGTGCTTAGTATATATTTTGCGAAAGCATATAAAGAGCCTGGACATATGCTAAATCTGACAATCAAATTACAATGATACGTCGCGTCTTCTTGAATCTTCTTGATTCTTCTTCTTGAGTTAGTGCTATTACGCACTTTTACTCCATAATGGCTGGGGGGCTTATCTCTATCCCACACTAGGCTTTAACTAGGCTAAGAAATCATATCATTTATTTGTCTTTTAGTTGAAGACGGACCTTAAATCATTAACGTCGTGTAAATGTTTTTACTTTTTGATTTCAGATGTCAAGTTCAAATTTTTGACAGCTTAAATTACTATTAACGTCTGAATCCAATATAAGGTTTTTTAAATAAACCTCGACTAAGCATGTCTAATGTTAAAACTTAGTGCAAAAAGTTTTCGTTGTAAACAGATTAAAAATGTTTAATTTTAACGCTTCATTTTGTTTGCGTTGTTGCCATCAGCTGTTGTGATCTGATAAAGATTAAAATAACAACATTGACATGCAATATCTTTACGTATATACCTGAATCCCTTTTTGCTAAGCGCAATTCTTATTTAAAATTTTCCCACAATTCTACTTTCATGAGAAATTTTAGTCGTAGTCTTAGTCGCAAGTTCCTCAATGTGCAGAATGTCAGGACGGCGATTATGCCGGCAACGAGTTAGATATCTGATAGATAGACAACAGCTAGTCATGCAGTTTTTCCACATTAGCGTTACAGTAATGAACATAATTACAGATGATGGAACCAATTACAAATGATGGAACTTGTTTTCGAACAAGTTACGAAATATATCTTCCATTATTCAGGAAATGTAATCATCTGCTTTAATGTGCACTTCTTTTGAAACATACAAAGCATCACTATTCACTAAGCATCACTAGTATAAGACCTTTACTTTCCAACATTAAACATGGCTAATTCTGTTTATATTAAAAATATGGTATAACAAAATATATAGATGCATAATTACAGTATTTTATTCATACCAATATATGACATAAAGAAAAAATTGTTGAAAGAATTGTTGAAAAAATTCCATCTTACTCAAAAATTACAAAATTATTTTAAAATTATTCAAATATGAGGTTTATGGAACGATTTGAGATACGTGGTATTATGAAAAAAGTGCTGTAGTAATGCATCAATATTTTTTTATATTTAATTTTATAATTTTTTAAATCAATTAATTTGAGTACAGACTGGAATTCGTGTTACATTAAAAATAGGAAGAACATAAAATTATTCTAATGTAGATCAATTCCGAATTCATCCAAGATTCAAATATATCTATGTCTATTTGCGCCTCTATTTGTGAACCCCTAAAAACACTATCCATTTGGAATTGAAATACAGTCAATCATTTTTAATTGTTTATAAACTTTAGAGAATAGTTAAGAATTTATAATATGAAAATATGATGGGAAGCTTTTTAACAAAATCTATAAACTACTTGATTTTCCTTTTTCTTTCTAAAATTTTTAATAAAAAATTGGTTAAAGTATATTCCATTAAAAATTTATTATTCTATACAAGTATTTTGAAACTATGTTAACAGTCTTAACAAAAACTAAAGTCTCAACTATATATCTAGAATAAATTTTTATTAATATATAATTTTATTCGCTTTTATTTCGACATTATAATATTTATGTATACCAACTTTTTTTTAAATAATTTTTACGATTAAAGATTGTGTTTCCTATCAAAAATGTAGGTTGGAACTTTTTCTAGTATCTATTTTCAGATATATTTATCGTCAAATTAAAATATTATTTATAAACTAAACTGACGTCATAAAATCAAATAAGAAATCCTCATAACATAATATTGTTTTTGTAACACGTAGTGTAATTAAAAAGTACCAAGATTTTTGAAATTGCATTTGCGGTGTCGTATTTATCGAGTAGCGTCTTTTTATGTAATGGTTTACATTGCCAATATCGCAGTTTGTGTTTGCCATGTAAATGACCTAGAAATACTAATATCCAATGAAAGCCATGAAAATTAGAAACCATATAAAATAGATGATTCTTTCTGATCAAAGAAAAAACTGTAAAAACATGTTTCTATTATAAAAAAAAATAAAGAGTGCCGGAGTACATTTATGACGTCATCATGCTCGAACTGCAGTACAGTGTTATTTTTATTATTAAACGTATAAAAAAAATGAAATATTAAAATCAAACGCAAAACATAAAGATCGTTTTAATGTTTCTAAACATATCAAAAATTTATGTATGGGAACAATTAAAAACAAAATAAAATAAAAACGTGTAGAACATTTAACAGAGAAACAATTTCAACAAAAACATAAACAATAACGTGATTTGTATAAAAAATAATGTCATATTCATATGTAGTCTTCCATATTCAACTTAATATGATTCAATAACATTCCTAAACTAGTTTGCCTTCTGCGAGTTTCGATCGCCAACTCCTGTTATATTCATATATTCATATTCAACAGTATGTACGTACTTTTAACATTCTCTAGATTCTAGAGAGTCTAAAAGAGACATTATATTTTTTAAGAACTTAAAAACTAGAAAAAAATCAGATTTTTAATCTTTTGTCGTTACTGAAAGAACAGAAAGCCTTTTCTATTAACACTTAACACTTCTGGACACCTAGATAATAACGTTTTTCGATTAAAGACGCGCGAGTTCCTGACTTTTAAATCAAGATAATGCCTAAAAAAACTTTCGAACAGTTTTTATCAACTGAAAAATGATATCGAATAACTCCATAATTTAAAGGAGCAACTATTTTGAAGAAAATCGAAAAATCATTAAAGATACTTTCTGAAAAAATGATGAATTCTTTTCTTTTATAAACTTACTTTTCCACTTATAATAAACTTACTTGTTTAATTATTATTTTCCATCCTTTTATTGGTTTATCATTTTCACACTTTCTTGAATTTTTGAAAAACCTTTTTCTCTTTACTTTCCAAATTTTTTATGAAATTTTGCTATAAATGTCTCAGACTTATCAACAATTTATTAATGTATTAGGTTTCAAGTTCGGAGTACTTCTCGGTTAGCTTTTATAATGATCAAGGCTGCCAAGATGAAGAGTTCATACCAGCTACCAAAGGAGTAACATTATCGTAAGTCACAAATTTCCAGTCATATGTCATATATATCATTATTCTTGAAATTAAATATTTTTTCAGTGCCGCTTTAACTCAAACTTTAAGGCGAAGGAACCTGAGTTTTTCACAAATAGCCATCACAGACAATACTCAGAGTAGTAATTTTCTAGAAGCTGGTAAATAAAAAATTTAATAATGTTGGGTTTACTATTACTTAAAATTATTATGTTCAGAAAAACCGATATTCTATGCGGGTTCGTCACCCTTTTTAAGTTCTTTAGATGAAAATACAGAGGTTGAGAATTTAGCTGGTCGACATTTAATAATAACTGAACGCGATGGCAGTCGTAAAATGTTACAAAAGGCGGCATCTTTTGTAAGTAAAACAAAACAAAATAAATTGCTTTTATTTTTTAAGTTTAATTTTTATCCATTAATTTCTAGGGTGCACGTACTCGACCACCTCGCTTACTTTCCTCCGCTTCTACAGAAGAAACCACCGATAATTCACAACCTGGCAAACAAATTAAGCAGCGCTGGTCTGGCTTGTTTGGCAGTAAAAATCAACAGCAAAGTCAACTATGTGAGTTACTAAATAATTACGCGAAAAATGGGGTACCACAGAAATCTGCAGCTTTGAATTTTGATCACGCGCATTTCGATGAAGCACTTGAATATTTGGATAACATGCATAAGTCATGGCGAGATTTTGTGGACAGCGAGGCAATGAGTGAAATCGAGACGAGAATACAGACTGCAATTTGGGAATTGGTGACAACAGAAGTATATTACATACACGCGCTGCAAACTGTGACCGATGTAAGTTACTTACCTTTACGAGTACAAATTTTATATTAATGCCAATTATAAAATTACAAATAATTTTATTATATGGAACAATACTTTGCAGCTATTTTTAGCTTGCCTAGAAGCCGTTCAAGAAGAACGTTTGCTGACTGATGTTGATCAGAACCGTTTGTTTTCTAATGTACGCGATATATGTGAGGCTAACTTAAAATTCTGGACGATGTACCTATATCCAATGGTAGCACACAGTGTCACTACACGGAGTCCTTTAAGTATAGCGTTTTTTCATCAAGGTTTTGTGACCTTTGCATCTATCTTTGCACCTTATAAAAAGTACTGTGCTGAGCAGAGTACTTGTCAGTTTTACTGTAAGGAGCTCAATCACACTAATGCACTATTTACCTCTTATTTGGCTTGGTGTGAATCGCAGAAGATGTGTAACCGATTGAGACTGGCCGATATTTTAGTTCGTCCAATGCAACGTTTAACGAAGTATAGTTTACTTCTTACGGCAATAAAAAAAAATATGTCGGACGTTAATGAAATTGAAGCCTTAGATACAATGGTTAGTTCTCATTTTTTTTATTATATGTCAACTACTTACGCTATTTGTATCATAAAATGATCCTTTTTTTTAGATACACACTGTGGAAAATTTCGTTTTTAGTGTGAATAATCACTTAACCACTCGCCAGGAAAGTGAACGGCTGAAAGGTGTTATGGCAAGAATTGAGTCCTATGATGTGGTGGTAAGTCATTATTTGTTTTGTTACAAATCATTATACATTTCATATGATTTTCATTGTTAGGACACTAACAACGAACAATTGGAGAAGATGATTAAACAATATAGTCAAATGTTTGATTTATGCGCTCCAATGAAAGGATGCCCTGCCCACCAAGTTCGTCACCTTTTTATGGAAGGTGATCACAAGTTCAAAGACAATCTCGGCAAAGCCGATGTGCATTGTTTTTTATTGACCGACATGTTACTTGTTTGTAAAACTATAGCGAAAAAAGGGCTTGGTACTTTAAAAATGATAAGACAACCGTACTTAACCGATCGTCTAGTCGTTCAGCATAGCAACAACATTCTTAATTGTGTCTATCTGAATGAATTTCAGGTGGCAGTTACAGCTTTTACACTGCAATGTTCCGAGGCAAAGAATTGGCACGATTCTATATATCGAGCCAAAACGATTTACACAAGACTGAAACAAGGTGCAAATAATTGGGACAGCTTTCGTTTTGGCGGCAGTGGTGCAAGTGGTGGTACCGCTGATTCATTGGGAGTTAAAAAATCTCCTATCAATTCTTCTATATGTAGTCATGTCTCAAGTGCAAATAATAGTCACAGTGGTTCGGTGGAGTGGAATGATTCAAGAAATATTTCAGTGGATTTTGAGAAAACAAATTCACTATCAAGTGATGAAGGCTCAAGCTTATTAGGTGAGTTAATTATTTATTTTTTGTTACTTGGTAAATTAAATAGTTATATGTGTGTAGAGAGTGATTCATATCGATATGCTTTAACATTGTGGAATGATATCTTGGTCCAAGAGAAAGAAATAAAGAAAAATAAAGAAATTGTATGGGTGTTAATCTCTCCGTTTTCTATATCAACTAAGATATAGGATATTAAAGTCTAACCAAACAAAATATTCTGTAAAAAAAATTGAATACCTTAAAAAGAACTCAGCTTATAACCTTACTATTATGCTATCGAATAGTCTCCAATATAATGACTTAAATGAATTTATAATAAAATTAATTTGAAATTTAAATATTAAAATTGATTTTTTTGCAAAAATTTAAAAATTTTTATGGAAAACCTGGTTTAACTCAAAAGTTGTTTCTATTTTTTTCTTACTACTTAGTATCGATATACTTCTATCTTGCAAACGCTTTTTGCTTATGTACAATATTTTAAATGAATCTACCAAAAAAAAAACTCATTTGAAGCAAAGTAACCTACTGTTACTGCAGCTCTGCCTCTAATGGCGTTTCCTACCTCTTCCCTAACCCCTCTTCGCACACAAATGACCTTTGCACCCACATTCTTTATTTTAATAATGCTGCCGATCGCTACATTTTCAACAATGGAAAGCTCTATAGCTCCACTAAAGATCAGATTAAAACCATTTTTGTACGAAATTTAAATGTAATTATTGTTGAGAATATTTCATAAGCATAAAATTTCAGATAATGGTCCTATGAGTTGACCTCCACCCTATACTACGTGTAGGGATATGTAACGTGGATAAATTGCTCAGATAAACTAGACCTATTGGAATCCATTACATTTAGAGTTATTATAAACAGATTCACTACCATGCTTCAGTGGCATAGTCAAAGGGGTTAGAATTGGGGGATACATCCCCCTTGAACAATAAAATACATTATACAAATACAATACATAAAACAAAAAAAATTTAATGAAATACAAAAGTAGTGAAAAAAAAAATAATTTTTTTATATCCGGCTTTTAACACAATTCCTACCAATCCCTATGAAAAGATATAAATCTGTATTATATTTTTACTTTATGTTAGGGTGGAATTAATGGATTGTAAGATTTATTTAGAATTACTCTTTACTTTATGTATATTTATAGACTTCTGATGAGTAGTTCACTTAATAATATTGTTTTCATTAATAAGGTCTACATGGTTTTCCCTTGAAAGGGAAAAATGTGCTTGCTAGCCCACATAAACTGAAAACGCCCACTTCATCTGCAAATACGCTTTCGGTACAACCGATCAATAGTTTAGGCCAAAGTCTACCAAATTTAAATTTACATCACAGTCAAATGTAAGTAATTTTTTTCCATTTAAATATTGTATTTTTGATTATATTAATATTTAAAATTTGTTTTTTTTTTTTAATTTTTACTTTTATTTTAATTTTAAAATAAAATTAAATTATTTTTTTTATTTTTATTAATCTAACTACACTCCATGAAGTAATGTTAAACGTTCTTATAGTAACAACACACTTCTTGTACCTGGCACAACTACGAGTCATTCCGGTATTTTGTTATTATCGCCCAGCCATCGAGGTATATCATACCCACCACCTAGTCCCACAAGGTAAGTTTTAAGCAAATTTATTTTAGTTGATAGATTTAATTAATTTATTTTGTTTTCTTCTTAAAAAATTAATACAAATACAAGTAGAGTACCACTGCGTCGTGGTATGGCTTTCTCCACCTCAACCAAAAATCCACCACTAGTCAAAACACGTAACATCACCTCACAAAACAGCATAAATTGGCATCAAATACCTGCCACGCCCACTCCACTAAGTCCACAATATCAAACAGCGACGAATAATACAAAAGTCACCAATTCATTTGGGGGTCTATCACCAACGACCATACAGTCAACACATATACCAGCATTAAGCAATGAGAGTATCATTTTAGAGAGTCCCGAACATCAACTCCAACAGCAGCAAACAACTCCACCTAAGCAGCTGTCAAACTCCAGTTTGACAGAGAACAGTTCCCAGCTGGTACAGACTAGCAACGAAACTGATGTTTGATATGGAACTGCACTTAAAACAATGGGCAACAAAGCCACCAGAATAACGAACGTGATTGTTTACTACTTTAGTAAAGTAAAATAAATAAGATGAAGGTATATTTTCTATATTTCTATATATGAAAAATGTATACCATACAATAAAAAAAACAATACCAAATTTACACACATTGTCAATTTTCACATAAATTTTGTATGTGAAGTTTTTTTATCAAAGTTGATAAAATATTTTATCAGATCAGTATTTTAGTGAATATGTAATTTGCAGTTACATAAGAAATATTTATAAAAATATTTGTCAAAAACACTTGTTAATATTAAAATTAAAACAAAATATATTTACAAATTTGCTTTCGGGCATTTAACGTTTAAGGGCATAAAAAATCTGAAGACAGTCTTTTAAAATAAAGTTAAAAATCTACACGAAACGCTTCAAATTAGTTTTAAAGATAGTTTCAGCCTTCAGCATGTAAATTTGTATACAATTTAATATTTTAATATTTTAAATCTAAATAATAATTTCAGTTTTTGAGTGTAAATTTTTAAATTAAAAAATTTTAATTTCTTAGTATTTTATTTATTTTTTATAAAATTTTAAACTTTATTTCAATAAAAAATTTTGTTTTACCTCATTTTTAATTGTTTTACTAATTGTTTGTTTATATACTGAGACATTTCACTATGGTAATCTGTGAGCTCATGGATCTGGTGGATTTCACATACGTAAATCCTCAAGAAATAATTGTCTTTATCAATCGCGTAGATTGGTTTTTGAGTTTTGATCTTTAGGGTCGAGTTTGTGATAACAAAACATAGAAAGAGGACTCAACTACCACCAATTAAACCAACCAACCAATTATATTATTATGTTGAAGCTGTTTGGAGCTAGAGCACTTAAGCACTTATACTGTTTTTTAACTCGAGGTATTTTCAAAACCTCTCTTTACACCTTGACTAGATTATATATTTTTTAATTGGTTTTTTTATTTTATAATTATATAATATATTAATATATATATTTTTTTTTTTCTAAGTCTTTTTATTATTTATAATATAAGTATACCTATATAGAGAGGTTTTTCGAACAGTAGTCAACTACAACAACAAAAATTCTTTTTTATACTATTTTAATTAAATGAATTTTTGGTTGACCATACAGCTGATTCAAGTATTGCCAAATAGCCATCATCAGTGGTCTTGGAAATAATTCTTATATTTAACTATTCGTAAATAATTCTTTTTGAGATTGCAATTACCAGGAATCGAACTCGTGTCCTGTCAAATTTGAAGCTCAGAGTCAGCGCACCTTAACCTACTGACCCAAAGCCGTACTTGACTTGTATGTTTGCACATTTTTCTGGTGTTTTGTTACTTTGCTGTGAAGGTTTTACTAAAAAATTCACTTGCTGTGAAATCATAACCATAAACAGTTTTTCCTTATATATACTACATACGAACATCGGCTTGTAAAGTTGTATACAATCCCAACGAGTCTATAGATTCGTTAGTCTATACAACTTAAACAATTATTACAGTGACGAAAGTATTTTTACCGTCAGCTATCGATGAATTTCTTTTTCGAAATCATGTTAACACAATTTGATTTGACAAAACTGTCTCAACACCTATTCTGAGCCAACTGATATTTCAGCGTACCCGATTGCTAAGCAACATTGCACCGCTTAAGTAACAAAAACTAGCCAGAGGCAACTGAAATCATAGTTTATTCACAATCATTAATATGAAATCTTGTTTCCACGACAATCTGAGACTTGAAAGGTTTTCTCCTAAACTTTACCAACGAAAAGCACAGCAGCCTACGTAATAAAAATTATTATAGGCCAACTACACTCATAGCGCAATATATATACATGGTTGTAGAATACAGCAATTTGTTACTAAATAAAATTTTCAACCAACCTGCGTCACAAAGAAACACAACTGCCTGAACAAGAAAATCTGCTCTGGGAGGACTGAAATCAGTGTTTACAATATTGTATATGGAAGTGTTTTCTATTGACACACTATTACCACATCAAATTGATACCTAAAAAGGTCTGATTCAAGCAAAAACTATTCTGAGCTAACGAAATCGGGGCATACGTACACATTAAACCATATTGCATATGAAACTGATTTTCAAAGTTGTGTTCTTGAATTGTAGTTTGACACCGTATCACACATCTATCATCTGTTTAATGGTCTCACAACATACATATATTTAAGAGTGATTGATTAATACATTTCTACAATTAGCTTGCATTGTTTTCGTATTTTAGTTGGATTCAATTTTCCACAACACTCTCTCCTTCGCTTTGACATTTTCTTTGTTTCTTTTTACCTAACTCCTCACTCGATTCTAATTTCCAACTTATTCATTTAAAAACTGCTTCCTATTTCCATCTCTCTTTCTCTCTGTTTTTAACTCTCTATCTTTTTTTCTCCCTCTGATTTTTCTGCCTCTTTCTCTCTCTTTCGCTCTCGTTCTCTCTTTTTTTCTGCCTCTCTTTCTTTTCTCGCTCACTTTTTCTCCCTCTCTTTGTCGCTCTCTCTCTCTCTCTATTTCTCTCTCGTTCTCTCTTTTTTTCTGCGTCTCTCTTTTTCTCTCCTTGTGCATACTACTTAATGAGTCCCTCGGAACTGGTCGGATCGCTACTTCGCATTCAAATATCCTCCAAATATTTTGTGCTATTTCTAATCCAGAATTAACCAGTAGTTTAAAAAAAATTGCATTCAAGAAAAATAAAATACATTTGATTCCATATACAGGAATACGAACTATATCTGAATAGACGAACGATATCTGAGTAATAATTAAGGACTCTTAAACTATTTAAATTATATTATTGTTATTTTTAGATTTTAGTTTTTGTGAAAACATTTTTTATTGAATAATTTTCCTTTTCTTGATTCAAAATTTAATTCTGCTATTTAATCATTAATTAAGATTAATTAAATAATTATTAAATGAATTTTAAATAGATTTTATATAAGTACTTTTTATTCAACACTTTTATTTTTTTTAACGCTGCTTTAGCGTTATTAATTGAAAAAAAAAGAATTTTTAATATAAAATTTAGATTTTTTATTAATATTTTTTATTGAAGTTTTTTCTAATTTCAAATTTTATTCTCTTATTTAATAATTAATGAGGAAACAAAAAATTTTAAATAAATTAAGAGTTTATATAAATACTTTTATATTGAAAATGTTACTATATTTAAAATATTTAAAATTATTTAAATATTATTTTATTTTAAATATTCAATATTCTTATTTAAAAATAAATTACAAAACTAAAAAAATATTATTTATTGAATCAATTTATACTTCAACTGTTTTATTTTTTAGTTATATATAAATTTTATTTATATAAATATATATATATTTTTTTTGTTTTTTCTGTTAAATAAGAAAGAGGTAAAGATCATAAAGCTTACTGAAGAAATTAATTTGAGTAGAAAATATTTTTTTTATTTATTTATTTAAATATTATTTCTTTAAACCTTAAATAAATATCAAAATTGTATAAAAAAAAAACATTTTCAGGCTGTTTAAAATATTAAAATCTATTGACAATTTCTAGGGACACAAAATTATACTCACAAAAGCATAGAAGAAAACTTGACATAAAAGTTAGTATTCAAAAATTAGTGTTATATGATATATATATATATAAATAGTTTGAATAATTAATTAATATTATTATATATAAATATATAGTTTCTAAACTATATACTTTATTAAATATACCAAAATTTTGGAAAACAAAAAGCATTTGTTTCAGTATTTAAATTTAATAAAAGAATAAAATTATTAAATAAAATAAATAAATTGAATTTGGAATTAGATTTAGATTGAAAACTCAAATAAATGAGTATATAAAATACTTATTAGAAATGTAGGAATCTATAAAATATTGATACATAGTAACTGCTTAGTTTACTTAGTACTTTTATGCTGAAAAATAATTAAAACTTAATTAAATTAAATCAAACATTTGGAAAATGTGATAAGTGTATCTATTGCACATATAAATATTACATACATACTATATAGTAAGCTGAAAAGTGCGTAATATATTATAGAGTAATTATATATATATATAATTATAATTTTGATATTATAACAAATGAAGACACTATAAAAAATTTTAATAACTAAAATGAGGAAACGTAAGCATATAATATTAAATTTATTTTACTGTCTAATATTAATCACCATACGACTGGCACTTGGCACTTTTTTTACTTGTTCATTAAAAAATTTAGTTAATTGCATAGTTGATATGCAATTATATACTAGTTATTAAACATTTCGTTTCATTTAATTTCGTGATAATAATAAACTCTTAAAGCCAAACATAATTCACTATCCTATCAAATATTGCAAAAAAAAATTAACATGTTTAACTGCATAACCCTTGATATAATATTCCTTGAAAGAGTTATATTCCGCGCAAAACTAAAACTTCAACTATCTATCTTTTGTAGCTCGACCTTTTTTCTGTATCTCTGGTAAATTGCTAGTAAGTATTTTAGCAGCACTTTTTGATCTCGACTTCTTCACTTATTCAATGATGATATCTCCATTAATCAACTGATTATTCTTCTTTCTTATCCTATGTTTTTTCTTTCAAAAACTTCTACTTTGTAAGTTTCTCTTTAATTGTGACTGTCACACATATACGCAGCAGACCTAACCAATATTATAAGTAAACGTTCTTCTTAAATAGAAGACGTTAAGTGAAGAAATGAGGACAGTGTAGAGAAAAGAATGAAGAAAAACATTTCTGGTGGAGAAATTAAGATTTCTTAATTAATGATTTAGTCCAACTGAAAACCCTATTAAAATGTTGACCAATGGGATAAGTCCTATAAGGTACTTGTAGCTTTGGTCCGGAAAAATATTTTATTTTTGTTTTCGGAATAGTAGCAAACAATATACATATCTGATAAAAATTTCAAGTTAATACAATAACTATAACTCAAGATCAATTTGAAAATGAAAAACACACTCGGAAACCACCTATAGGTACACAGCGTTACCCTTGTACTCTTATTTTGAGGATATCCTCTTCCTAATAATTCAGTTTTCTAGGGGTTTTTTGTTTGACTTATGTATTCCCGATGTAAGACTATGCTGCATCTTTCTAATCAATTTGTTTTCTTTGAAAATTTATCGAGTATTTCTCACATCCAAAGAAAAGAGTTCTTCAAAATTTGTGGACACACACTTTCTTAATGCTAAACATCTTCACAATAGATGTGA